TATAGTATAGGGGAGAGGGGACAGCTTTCTACAAGGGCAGTTTTGAACTTTACAAATTAAAAATGAACTGTCCTTTTCTGCGATTACAAATTGTAATTTTTGAAATGGCAATACAGTCACAGATAACCGTCAAGTGGTAGCTGCCGTGGTTGCAATTGTTAATTTAATCTAGAAGCGTTTTGTATTTTTTGTGCCTTCGTATTGAACGTTTCATCTTGCACATGTAAGCATTTTAAAATTAAACCATTAAATAATTAACATTTTGTTATGCTATGTGTTTTTTCTTACGTCCATATCTACGTAATAAAGATGAAATATTTGGTTTTTATCGATATTCTGGTAAACAAAATAAGATATTTTTTCAACATGACTGATAGGGATAGATTTGAACAAAGCAAACAGACACCTTAGAACATTTCAGTCGCAATTGTCGCAAGCTATGCGAGCTCCCACAAAGCCCATGGCACAAAAACGTAAGAGAGTAAGACGTAAGCAGTAAGGAAATCGTAACATTAGACTAGGTCCACAACCTTGCTTTAAGAGATCCTAAGTCGTAAAGCCGTAAGAAATTAACCTACGAGTCGATTATTTTTCTCATATTCAACTGTGATCAATTTCTTAAGGCTTTACGGCTTACGGCCTTTTAAAGCAAGGTTGTGGATCTAGCCTTAGATTTGCTACTGGTCTTACGGTCTCTACTGTGATTGGCCAATTTGCTTACGTGTTATTGTCTTACGTTTTTGTATGTGCCATAAGCTTCAGTCCTTCGCGGTTCGTAGATACACATGATAAGGTTGCGTTTGATTGTTGATAAGCATCGGACACGATCTACATATTAAAAAATTTATAACGCAAGCATAAGCTTAAGAGCCTTCTACAATAAGCCATTAGTCATAAATTGCTAAAAATTGACCAATTACAGTCAATTTTTAGCTTCTGACTTCTGTTTTATGACTAAAGGCTATTGTAGAAGGCCCAAAAGGATAGAAACTCTTTATACTGCAAATTTGTAATTGCTTTCGACAATATAACAGGTACGAATACACAGTTTTTTAAATATCTTTCTACACTTACCTGGTAGCCAAGTTATACGTTATTGGACGTAGCCTGTAATCTACAACTTGTATACAGTAGAAACTGGATTATCTGATATGGTTTTTTTAATCTCCCGGATTGTCCGACATAGGGTGCTTTCCAGCAAAAGACAGATGACACAGTGTAACACAGTGAATCATTACATCCTTGTTATTTGCTAATGTTAAATGAAGATGATATGATCTGTGTCACACTGTGTCGCTTGCTGGAAAGCACCATTCATTATCGAGTTCTTGTGATGATAGCGTTACGCGCATTCTTACTGATTGATATGTGATATCTTGAGAAATCGCTTTTTTTTTATAAAAGTTTTTTATAAGAGGGAATTATAAGAGTTAAAAGAGATAGTCTATTTCAAACTTAAATTTTGATAACTTAAGATCAGAGTTTATTATGTTTTTAATTTTATTTTGATTATCATACTCATTACAAGTTCTTAACTTTTGTTTTTAACTTTTAGTATATTTTAAAAAAAGAGGTTTTTATTTGTATAAATAAATTAGTACATAAGAAACATTTAATCTTTCTTTTTATAATGCGTTCAAAACTGCCCCAGAG